CTAAGCACACGGCAAGCAATGACGAGAAGCGCTACACGGGTCTCATATTCTCCGGTCTTGTCGGTATGAATGACCCTCCTAGAAAGGATGTTCACAAGTCTATCCGACGCCTCATGGCGGGTGGAGTCAAGGTTATCATGATCACCGGCGATGCAGAAACTACAGCCGTTGCCATTGCAAAGAAACTCGGGATGCCTATTAATTCCTCCTCAGCCGCAAGGCCTGTCCTTCGGGGCGATGAGATTGATCATATGAACACTGAAGAATTGGCACAGGCAATTTCCGGGACATCGATATTTGCAAGAACAAGCCCTGAACACAAGATGAAGATAGTTAAAGCGCTTCAATCGCGCGGTGATGTTGTCGCAATGACAGGTGATGGAGTCAACGACGCGCCAGCGTTGAAAAAGGCAGATATTGGCATATCTATGGGTAAATTAGGCACCGACGTTGCCAAGGAGGCGGCAGACATGATATTGACGGACGACGATTTCTCTACGATATTACGAGCGATTGAGCAAGGAAAAGGAATATTCTATAACATTCAGAATTTCATCACGTTCCAGTTGAGTACTAGCGTGGCTGCGTTAAGTCTGGTTCTGCTCAGTACTGGACTGGGCTTCAAGAATCCTCTTAATGCCATGCAAATCTTATGGATCAGTAAGTTTTACGCCATGATGCATGTATCTCACAGTTCCGGGGACTACGTCACTAACAGCTTCAATCAGACATTCTCATGGATGGCCCACCCGCTCAATCCCTTGGAGTCGAGCCAGTTGATCCATCAATCATGGTCCGACCGCCGCGGTCCAAACATGCTCGTGTTCTCACCAAACCTCTCATCCGCCGTGTCTTAACCTCGGCATGCTTCATCATGGTTGGCACGCTTGCCGTATATGTTCACCAAATGGCCGACCACACCGACGAGATTTCGGGTGTGCATTCTCGCGTAGTCACTCGCCGCGATACTACTATGACGTTCACCTGCTTCGTCCTGTTTGACATGTTCAATGCTCTCACTTGCCGATCCGAGTCAAAGTCACTGCTCCGCGGCGAAATATCTCTGACCGGCAATAAAATGTTCAACTACGCAGTTCTAGGATCTCTTTTCGGCCAAGCTTGCGTTATATACTTGCCTATTCTACAGGGAATTTTCCAGACAGAAGGCCTGGGTTTTTGGGATCTGTTTTGTTTGGTATGTATTTCTAGCTCTGTCTTTTGGGCCCATGAAGTCCGGAAGTATCTCCTGTGGAAGAGGAAAGTCAGCGGCATGGGAGTTCCGGCATCATCCTCTACAGGAACTCTTTCTTCTATTATTGGGTACAGCGGAAACGTATAGAGGTTATAAGCTGTATGATCAGGAAGATACTTTATGTTTTTCTCCTTTTTCGTTCTCTGTAGTTTTTTGTTTACGTTTTTATTAATTGGGAGGCATACTTGGGCTTTGTGGCTGGCATGTATACATATAGAGCGACAGACATTTACCTATTCTATTGTTCGGAAATATTAAGGGTGGTTTATCACAGCAGCATGCATATATTAATGTCAATAATGGTGATTTTAGAACAAATGGAATATTTATTAATGGTACCTATTCCGTTTTCGATGAATAATTAAGACAGAAACCCAATGCTGACAAAACGCCATCTAACCCCTTACGCTGAAAAAAACAAGAGCCTGACTGGTGGTATGGTAGGAAAATAGAGGGTATCTCGAGTCGAATCATAAAACTCCATGAACACGTTTAATACACGGCTGAGCGAGAGGCTACCGAGGCTTTTCACTTAACTCGGCATCGACGGTCTCAACTGTTTCGCCATGCTCGGCGGAAGGGTGGTCAGGCGCACCTACAACCGAAGGCACTGCAGTCACATCTCGGAGGTTGGTCTGAGAAGAAGACTTTGATGGAGTAGGGGAGGAAATAGGCTGACTCTTAGTTTCTTGTCCAGGGTTTGAGAACATGCCACTATGTTCACCACAACCGTAGAGGTTGGCACGGGACACATTGGCGTCTTGTGCCTGATCGTTCTTCTGAGGAGTCCATGCAAGATAGTCACGGCGTACTTCAACATAATCGTATGCGAATTCGCCGAGCTGGTCGTCGTCCATACCGAGAAGCTCTGCTTGTTCAGAGGCGCGTAACTTAAGGCCGGGGATGATGTTGATAGCGTAGGCGATTAAGGCGGATACGACGAAGGTGTAGGCTGCTGTGGCGACTATGTAGGCTAGTTGGATGTATAGTTGGCGATAGTTATGGATGATCCAGCCACCAACTGCGGTTCCAGTGGTTGGATTTTTAGCACCAACATTGACTCCGTCGAGGCCTACGATGGCATCACTTCCGAAGAGGGCGTTGAATAATAGTCCGACAATACCAGCAACTCCGTGTTCGGCAAACACGTCCATAGAATCATCGATACCCATCCAGTATTTTACTATAAAAGTTAGAATCTAGATGCCGTAGAAAATTGGTGTATGGTTGAATGAAAGATGACTTACTCTTAGTGCTGTAGTTGGAAACAAACCCAGTGACAACCCCGAGAATGACACTTGCCCAGGGCGGGATGAAGCCCGATGCAGGAGTGGCAGCAACAAGACCGGAAATAGTGCCTGAGCACCATCCGACCATCGACCACTTCCTTGAAAGACGCCAGTCAAGAAGTACCCAGGTCATGGCGGCAAAGCTTGCAGTTAAGTTGGAGTTCCAGCAAGCCATAACAGCACGAAGGTTGGCACCGAATGAAGAGCCACCGTTGAAACCTAGCCACCCGAACCAAAGGAAGACGGTACCAAGCAATATCAATGATAAGTTGTGAGGCCTGAAGTTGATCATCATGCGCTCTTGGCGACGGCCGAGGACCAGGGAATAGGCTAGAGCAGATAGACCGGAGACAATTTCAACAGGCCCACCCCCGGCATAGTCCATGACACCGTATTTGAAAGCCCAGCCATTGGAATTCCAGATCCAGCAAGTGATCGGGCAGTAGACAAGGGTAGCCCAGAAGAAAATGAAAACCAAGGCAGGTAATAGGCGTCCTCGTTCTGCCACAGCACCCATGACTATAGCGGCAGTGACAGCACAGAATTGGAGCTATAGTTATTGCATATTAGTAACTGATGCGAATGCAAGAGATAGTAGGCACCCTGTATCGTACCTGATAGAAAGCATAGAGCAGGTCGGATAGAAGGGGAGAGCCCGGGCTAGGAGTAGCCAAAGTGGCCATGAGGCCAAAGTCGTGCAAATTTCCGATGAATCCATTTGTAGCAGTGGGAGAGAAGGCAAGGGAGTAGCCCCAGAAGTACCACTGGAAGCTGATGACGGACATAGAGGCCATACAAGCCCATATCATGCTGAGGGCCGACTTTCTGCGGGCAAGTCCAGAGTATAGGAAACCGAGTCCGGGGACCATGACCATAACCATGGCGGAGGCTACCAAGATATAGGCCTGGTCGCCTGGTTGAAACCATTTGTTGACATTTTCAACTCCTATGCACTGCGTGTTAGAAAGGAAGGGGGGAAAACACAGCTCCTCAGGTATAGAGTAGGCACTCACGCGAGTCACCGCCTAGAACTGGATCTGTGGAGAGGCTGAAATTGGACGGGGAGCCAGTCCAGTTGTAGGAAGCATAATCAGGGGCAAAAGGAGCCGGCATCTTCAGTCCTGCGGCTTACCCTGGTATTGGTTTTTGGGATAAAGTGAAGGAGTAATATTATTTGTATATCTATTTGTATGGGGGGATATGGGGCTAAGATATGTGAATGCCGTAGGTCATCAACCCTTAACGGCAAAAAAGTGAATATGGAAGGAATGTAAAAAAAGACATCTCAACCAGGGGGGTGAGATGGAAAATAAAAAGGAGAGGATGTCCTTCTTTCGGTCTCGGGTCGGTGAAAAAGACGCATCTGAAGACAGGCAGGACGGCCAGCCACGAAGGCTGAGGAGCGGGAAATGTAAGATAACGTAGGGTAGTCCATGACTAGGCCTCGCATCAGGTCGATATCAGACTGAAAGATTGTCTGATATTGACATGCCCCTGATTCGCTCGGAGGTCCAGATAGATAACACGGAAGGTTTAGGAGAAACCTGCTAGCGACCTCGGAAGATCCAGGGAGGACAGCTTAGTCATATCGGTACTTTGACTGTACTTGGTCCTCAAAGAATGGCTTTCGAGCGTCGTCGATATAAAGAAGACAGTCTGCCCTCCCCCTCCTGCCCATTATTATTGAATGGAAGGGAAAACCCCTAGAGTATAGCAGATCATGGAGAATCGTAGCCGAAGGAACAAGGTATCCTCGGGGTTGCACATGTATAGCACGCAGGTGGTATCATCTGGGAATATCAAAATCCAGGCACACGACAGCCCCCGCGAAGGATCGCCTGGCGCTCGCACAGGTTCGACGGAGCGGCTGAGGCAGCCCCAGAATTAGCCACAGTAGCGCAGGAGTAGCGCAGCTCAGGCGAGAGATAGGCTTAGGCAGCGAGTGAGATAGCCAGATAAGAACTCCAACTCCAGACTCGCCAGCCCGGGTCTACCGTTCGGGAGAGATAAGGCTGTTGTTCCTGCGCGCCATATTATTAGTTTATCATGGCTGGTCGTTCATCGTATCCATTGAACGGCGGTGTTAGAGGCTGATAAGCTTCTTTGTTAAATCTCCAGCGGGCCAGCGATTGGATGATAACAGATGGTGGCGGGAACACGGAGCTTATCAGGGAACCTCTATATCTGCTCGCCGGTCTCGATCGTGTTGGTTTTTTCTATTATTTCATTTAGCGGAGATAACTATTATTTAAGACTGAAGCTGTTGACGCCGGAAGTTGAAGCTGTAGGTAGGCCGAAGCAAGGTTCCGGCAAGGAAGATTTGGAAGCCAGAAAGAAAGCGAGAGTCAGAAAAGGAGGGAGAGCTTGGATATAGTGATGACTAATAGTTATATGACTAATATATGATTAATGAAGGTGACTAATACAGTGACTAATAAATTACTAATAGTTGGCAGTTCATGACTAACAAGGTTCCCTTCTGCCGCTTTGATCGCCTTACTAAGCATGACTGCTGCCTAAAGCGGCTCTACTTTAACCCAACGAGTGAGAAGGCGCGACTGCCTCACGTGCCTTCCCAGAAAGGCAAAGTAAACCTGGCAAGTGCGCTCGACCGAAAGAGGAAGAAGAGGAACGAAAAAGGCAGGAAGAAGAAGAAGAAAAACATCTCGAACGCCGAACAAGAAAAGAAAAAGACGAAAAGCTCGACGAGACGAAGAACGACGAGAAGAAGAACGACGAACGACGACGGCTCAAACAATAGCAACACTCAAAGCTGAAGACGAAGCTCGACAGAGAAACTGCAGAGATATGAGCCGTAGCGCCAAACTCGCCCCGGAAGCCAACAGGTGCGTGAGGAGGAGGAGACGGTGGCCCCCAACCCCCCAGCCCCTGGGAGTGATGGACGCCTTAGGCCGGCTTGGATGCTAACTTGGCTCGTGGACAGGATCCTCTTTGTGAAGAATCTCAGGTATTCTAGATGATGCGCCAAAAAAAAAATCCTATTTGAAGTGTCCAGTCCTAACAAGTGCCGTGCAGCTACAACGTCACCGCGGAGGAGCTCTTCGATCTATTTGGCAAATTCGGCCCTATCCGGTGAGGTCACAGCTGGCAGATGACTAGTTACGGAGTCGTGTGAGCGATAATGGACTAACGGAGAAGCAGCCAAATACGCCAGGGCATCGCAACCAATTCCAAGGGCACCGCATTCGTGGTTTACGAAGACGTGACGGATGCGAAGCAGGCCTGCGACAAGCTGAACGGCTTCAACTTCCAGAACCGCTACCTCGTCGGTCAGTCTGCTCCTAGGAATGCATACGCTGTAGCTATGTGTAACCAAACCCCCCACTAACGGAGAGAGACAGTCCTCTATCACCAGCCAGAGAAGATGATCCGATCAAAAACAGACCTCGCCGCGCGCCAGGAGAATCTCGAACGGCTCAAATTGCAACACGGCATAGATTGACTACAAGCGCCCCAGGACCAGGTGCTGCTCGCTTCCTCGAAATGTCGAACTTCCCCTTCCCCATCCTGCCCAGCTCCGGCCCTTGTGGCCAGCAGCTTGTGCATCCCACTTCACGGCCCTTCTCCTGCGTCTTCTCCGGCCGCTGCTTCGGAAGAGCCCAGGTCTAGGAGCCTCGTTATCTCTGCCCGGTCCCTGCCAGAGCGGTTCAAGGCGTTCGTTTGGTCGAGGCGTTTGGGGGTTACTTAACTTTTGCCGGTGGTGTTTCTTTTTTTTTTTTTTTGCAACTCTTCCTCTGTTTTTACTATTACTACGGCTCCCGATCTTTCATTCTTATCCCTCCATGCATGTCCGGGGGATAAGTTGAGGGAGCAGTTCCAGCTTTCATGCCGGAAGATGACGTTAAAACAACGATATATAACTTATTACCGGCTAGTTCATGCCATAATCAACTTGAATGTTTGCACTTTGCTTCTTCCAATCTCGCAGATCACCCGTCTCGTATCTCGTAGCTCGCTCAAATGCCTTTCAATGCTTTTCTACGATTGAACTCTCTGCAGGCGGCTCAGACCACACGTGACACAGCCGACCTTTCGCCTGGCTCCATCTCGAAACAACTCCAGCCAGAGCAAAACAGCAACAACGAGGACACAGAACGGACACAGAGAAGCAGAAAGAGGGCGAGACGGAAAAAGGATACAAAATCCTCACCCCCTTTTTTTTGATGGCCACGGCTAGTCTCCTGCGTTGGTCTCCATCAGACGCTGCCCGTGCTGCCCTTTGTCCGGGCGTTTTCAGCCGCCTTATGTAGGCTGCAGTCTCATCGGCCTACAGCCCCTTGTGAACTACTGCTAATTCTCACCCGTCTCCCACCACGGACAACCAAGGAGGAGGCTATTTGGATCGGGAGGAGCCCTTGACGGACGGAATTCAGATACACCATCCTTCTCTTCCACAGCCATGGCGGCAGGCCACGACACCTTGACCCTCCGCCATACTACCAGTACCATCATGCTACTCGCCGCTACCATGACCTCCGTTTCCAGCGCAACAAGAACAAGCACGGTTACGGCTACGGCTACGGCTACGGCTACGGCTACGGCTACGGCTACGGCTACGGTTACAGGTTCGCCTAATGCACCAGGCGATGCGGGAAACGGTAAATGTGAATTGCTCGGCCCCTTTGCACTGGTCATCCAGGTGTCTCTGGGCGCCCTGGCGCTTCTTGTACTGGTATATAAGCGGTGGAAGGAGAGGCCTCAGCGGCCAGTCAAAGTATGGGCATTCGACGTATCGAAGCAGGTCTTTGGCTCTTCGATGTTACATCTGGTCAACTTGCTTGCTTCCATGCTCTCGGCAGGTCAGATATCGCCGGACGCCAAACAGACAAATCCCTGCAGCTACTATCTTCTCAATCTTGGAATAGACGTAAGTTATCTTGCTCAACATCTACCGTCAGTATACTTTTACTAACATGAAGCAGACTACACTTGGAATTCCCATTTTAATTCTCATACTGCGAGTGCTGAACCATGCGGCGTTGTATACCCCCCTGGCTAACCCTCCTGAGTCTATCGAGTCAGGTCACTACGGCCGTCCACCAAAAGTGCTCTGGTGGTTCAAGCAGTCGATGATCTACTTCTTCGGTCTTGTTCTTATGAAAATCTGTGTTCTATGCATTATCTACTGGCTTCCGTTCATCGTCTTGGTCGGTGACTGGGCCCTACGCTGGACTGAAGGAAACACCGCCGTACAGATATTCTTCGTCATGCTGCTTTTCCCCGTCATCATGAATGCAGTGCAGTACTACATCATCGATATATTTATCAAAAAGCGTGCCTCCGAACATGACCCGCTACATCCACACGAGGAAGACCATGACTTCGACGACACTGCCTCGATAAATAGTGACAGACATCGCCGCAGTGCTCTGCTTGCTGGCCTTGATGATGAGGATGACTATCCGGCCAGTGATGATGAAGTCCTTAATTCTGCGCCTGTTATCTTTTCAGACGACGAGAGCAGCTCCAAGCCTGCTACCAGCAAAGCCACCTCCCACAAGCCGCCTCCCTTGCCACACGCCTAATCAATCCCCCCTATCTTCAAACTCGGATTTCTGCTTCTTCGTTTTGTCTCTCTCATGTACTACTGGTGAATCGGCGTTGGTCTACCATCTAGCAATACGTTCAGTTATCTACTTTGCATACCCGTGTACAGTTCGGCCTGGTCTAGCATCGTTATCCTTTCTTCTGTTTTGCACACCAGCAATATTACATATATATCATTACATATACTGGATAATGTATTACTAGAAACACCCATCTTCCCCTAGGATAATTTCTTTTATTCAACCCCTCTTGATAAGATATCGCTGTCGCTCAAACATGATGTCATCTACAAGCATTAATGGTTTTGTTGCTGAGAAAAGAAGAGATAAAAAGTCTTGGCATAAAAAAATAAAAATATCAAAATTTCGATATTCAAAGTTGAAGCTTTTTAAACTCAGCAGCTTCGTGCACACGAGCTTGTCGCCAGAATACATATTCTAGCAGGATACAGCTATATTTATTCTTTCATATAACCCCAGTTTTGTCCTTGGATTGAGCAAATATGGCACCGGAACGAAAACCTCGACAAAGGAAGCGTAGCAAAGTCGCATTCGTGGACGCTGGTGAAGAAGAAAATACCAATGGCATCGCGCAAGACGAAGTAATGGAGAAAGACGAGACTGAAGACGAGCTCGAAAGGATTCTATTCGGCGACTCAGAGGGCTTCCATAGTGCACTTAAGGAGCGTGAGCAGGCCGACTCAAAGGAGCTCGTTTTGGCAGACGGATCAGACTCGGCAGAGGGATTGGGAGAGGGCGGTGATTCGGAAGACGATCTCGCGAATGTCCCTGATGAGGATGTATGATTGTCTTATTCGTGATATATATGTAATGAGTTGAACTGCGCTGACATTGGTATAACAGCTATTCTACCTTGACGCTGGAGACTCGGCTCCGGTGGCCCCCATATCCAAAGACGATCAGCCGGCGGAAGAACTGCAAGTTTTAGAGAAACCAGACGTCCCTGCTGCCTGGGAGGATAGCGACGATGACCGAATTCGAGTGTCCCTGGCTGATAACGAGCGATTGAAAAAACTACGGCTTCATGAGGGCGAGGATGTGATAGGTGGTAGGGAGTACATTGCCCGCCTAAGGAGACAGTTTGAACGGCTCCAGCCTGCTCCTGAATGGGCTACTCCTGCAGCTAAGAGACGGAAAACCGAGGAAGATACGTCTGATCTATCGATGGATGAGGATGAGGTAGAGGAAGACTTATCTGCACAGCCACTGGCGAAGCTGTTGCAGAACATAGGCGACTTGACTAAATCTGGAGCCAATGCCACCTCTGCCGGGAAGAAGAGAAAGCTCCGCCAGGGTGTGTTGGATATCCAGCGTTTGAAAGACGTTGGCGGGAACCAGCCGGTAAGAAAATATATAAACTTCATATATATGTTGGCTGCGCGCTAATATTCATTGCAGTCCTCGATCGACTCTCTATCTTTCCACCCTCACTATCCCTTACTACTTTCGTCTGGACCTGCTTCTACCCTATTCCTACACCACATATCGCCCGATTCAGCATCGCCCAATCCACTGCTTACCTCGCTACACATCCGCCATACGCCTATAAGGACAAGCACATTCGACCGCCCAACCGGCAACCGTATCCTATGCTCCGGTCGTCGACGGTTCTTCCACGTCTGGAACCTAGATACAGGCAAGATTGAAAAGATCGTTGGCCCCGCGGATCGCAAACATGAGCTCAAATCCATGGAATACTTCAAAGTCTCTCCCTGCGGTCGCTGGATCGGGTTCGAAGGAACGACCAAAAAGGGCGGCGGGGTTATTATTGTTTTTGACGCAAATACCATGCAATGGGTGGCGCAGGTTCGCATCGACGGCCAGGGAGGAGTAGCTGACTTTGCCTGGTGGAGTGATGGCGAGGGAATGTGCGTGGTTGGCAAAAACGGTGAAGTCAGCGAATGGGATATTCGTGAGAAGCGGATTATTGCTCGATGGATTGATGAAGGTGCCGTTGGTACCACGGTGCTGAGCCTGGGAGGCCAAACGGGCCGTCAGGAGCTTGGAGGAGATCGATGGGTTGCCATTGGCAGTTCCAGCGGTATTGTCAATATCTATGACAGAAAGCCCTGGGCTGATGCTGCGGCTGCGGCTCGCAGAAAACCCAACCAACCCCTTGACGAGGCGGCGGATGTTCAATCTGGAGTACCGCAGCGGCCGAAACCAGTCCGTGTATTGGACCAATTGACTACTCCTATCAGTCATTTGGTGTTTGCGCAGGACGGGCAGTTCATGGTCATGGCCAGTCGGTGGAAGAGAGATGCTCTCAGGCTGGTCCATTTACCTTCATGCATGGTCTATTCGAATTGGCCGACGTCCAATACGCCGTTTGGTCGTATATCTTCTGTTGCGGTATCACCGACCTCGGACTCGATTGCCGTTGCTAACGAACAGGGCAAAATCCGGCTCTGGGAGATTCACGGATGAAATAGATTTGCAATTGGAATTGGGTTGGTGTTAGATATCCAAAAGATAGAATCATAGATCTATGACATTCTCCAGGGCCTATTTATATATATATATTTAACGGCATGTTGAATTTAAAAGAAAAATGAAAAGGGAGAGAACTTTTCAAAGCGGAATTAAGAGGATTAAACCAATCTATCAACCAAAATACACCTCCAGAGTAGATTATATGAATATCAACGCCATCCATATAACTGTAATTTCTATCTAACCCTTGAGCATCTGGCTTATGTTCTCCTTGTTCCGGACACCAGCCAAGTTGCCAGCCTTGACACGCTCGAGGGTCAGGGCAGCAATGAGAGCAGCTCCAACACCGGAACCGTCCTCGGCGGAGCTCATGATAACCTTGTCGTCCTCGTTATCGGCCCAGTCAAGGATCTCACGAAGGGCCTTGGCACCTCGCTGCTTGAAATGGGGGTACTTGTTGAAGACAGAACCGTCAGCACCAACATGGCAGGACTGGATGTTCTTCTTCTTGCAGATGGCAGCTACACCGCAGGCAGAGATACGTGCAGCTCTAGTGCCGATAAGTTCGGCCAGACGTCTGCACAGTTCGAGCTCTGGCTTGGTAGCCTGGATTCCAAGGACACGCTCGAACAGGTCGCGGGTTTCAGACAAGTTCTCGAACGGATCCTCCTCAATGGCAGAGAGGAAGGAAGAGTCGAGGAAGTATGGCTTTCGGAGATTGTCGATCTTCTGGCCCTGGAAGATAATGCCGCCCTTGTTGTCGATGATATCGATCAAGACGAGACGGAAGATTTCACCTAGGTAGAGACCAGCGGTCATCTTCTCAAATGCCTGCTGGCCGGGACGAGGAGAGTCACGGTCAATGATCTTGTCGAACTTGGTCAGGGGCAGGACAACACGCTCGTTGTCGAAGGCGCCGTACTCGCAGTTAATGGCGACGGGCATGTCTGGGGGCAGGTTGTAATGGGCAATCTTGGGTATCGAGCCCGCGTTGTCCATGTATGCGGCATTGACACCAGTTCCGAAGATACAGCCAATCTTCATCTCAGGATCGGTGTATGAGGAAGCAATCAGCGTTCCGGTAGTGTCATTGATCAAAGCTGCGACTTTGATAGACAATCCCTGTCTAGGTGTTAGTTATATTTGGTGTTAGCTGGGTATATAGCCAAGTGAGCGAACCTTCTTCTCCAATGCACTCTCAAGCATGGGGACGACGTCCTCTCCTTCAACACCGTCGATATCGAATCCCTTGGTCCATCTCTGCAGGACTCCGTGGTCGATGTAGTCCTGTGTTGCGGGGTAAGAGAAGGTGAAGCCCAGTGGGAGGTCTGGCAGCTCCTCTCCGTCGTGGTGGTATTCAATGAACTGCTGGACACAGTCGGCAATGTACTCCCAGAGCTCCTCAGAGGTTCCAGTCTTCAGCTCCTCGGGGATACGGTACTTTGACTGGGTGATGTCGAACTCTCCCTTCTCCTCAGAGAGGACAATCTCGCAGACTCGCAGGTTGGTGCCACCCATGTCGAGGGCCAGGAAGGTACCCTGTTCATTGCCGGTAGGGAATCCGAGTACCCAGGTAACGTTCATCGGCTGTAACCGTTAGAATTGATCCCCTTCGTATCATTTATCTCATGGGAAACGTACGATATTGCCGCCCTCAACGCTGAGGCCTGTGGTGCACCCGCCGGTCAGCCGCGACTCTCTCCGCCGGGGTGTGAGGACGTACCCTTAGTGAGCTCGTTGACGAAGTGGTCGACAATCTTCTTGAGCCTGGCCGTGTCGACTGTGAAGGTCTCTTCGAGCTCCTTGATCTCGTCCAGCAGCGCCTTGGGCATGTCGACCATGGATCCTATGCGGTGTCAGCGAGGCTCTGGGCGTGGATCAGCCGGGGGAGAAGCTCACCCTTGCGGGACGGCCGCTTGCGAGGAACGGGAACCATCTTGTCTGCGAGTCTGTCTGTCTGCTGCCTCTACTGTCTCTGGGTCGAATGTTGTAGCTGGAGATGGGGATGACGTTGGCAGTTGTAGCTGTAGTGGTTGTAGTTGTAGTTGTAGTTGGCAGCGGAAGTGGTGGGGAGGTTTTGGCCTTGGTTGGGCTTTTGTTACTCAGCAGAGACAAAGGGGGAGCGAAGCTGGAGGAGGAAGAAGAAGAAGCAAAGAAGACGACAGGGAGACGGACAGCAGACATTAAAAAAGGCGCAGAAGATAATGGATCATAGACTACAGAGAGAGATGTATACATTTAGAACCGCCATCAGTCGTAAAGTCGTAAGCCGGGAGCGCACAGCGAGCTAGCAATATCAATATCAATCTGCATCGACCGGCCGCATCTTGTCTTCCTCCTTGGACGAGACATCGAGAGCGGCCATGGACTCAGCCAACTGGTCCTCGGGTGGCTTCTCTTGCTCGGCGTTAGGCTGTGTCGCCTTCTCCTCGGCCAGGAGAGCCTCGAGCTGTGCCTTTGTCCGGGTCTCATGCTCGCGAGACGCCTTCAGGGCCGACTCTACCTCTGCCGAAAGACGGTCGACCTCATCATGGAGACGCTCGTCCTTGCTTGCCGGCTCCTTGTCCTGCTGCTCCGAGACTGGCTTGCTGCCGCTGCCGAGCTCTGGACACGTCTCTGCCCATAGTTTCTCCAGCTCGTCCAGCCAGCCGAGAGCCTCAGCCAGACGGCGTACACCACTATCGCAGTCTCCTAAGATCAGGACGTCATCAGGCCGTGATCCCAGCGATCCGGCTTGCTCCAGGTTGATTAGCACCCGAGGAATCTCTTCTCGACATAGGCCCGGGAGGCTGGCAAACGGATGCACACTCAGACTGGTGCCCATGACTATACACAAGTCTGCTTCTGCTGGGAGTTCTCGGTTGGCGAAGAAGTTGGCTGGTAGAGCTTCTCCAAAGAAAACGATGTCTGGCTTGACCAATCCCTGGCATTCACTGCATGACGGTATCTCGCTGTCTGCAATCGCCTTGGCCATGAGCTCGTCCAAGTAGGCCGCCTTGCAGTCTATACAGCTGTGTGTTGCAAAACTGCCGTGGGCCTCGACGATCATATCTCCCGGAACACCCGCCCTTCTCTCGAGACAGTCTATATTCTGCGTAAATAGCTTGAGAAGCAGCCCTTTATCATGCAGCAGCCGAATAAACGAGTGGGTGACCGTAGGCCTGTACTTGCCCGGAAACATCTCCCTGGCCAGCGCGTAGAACGGCTGGGGGTTCTGGCGGAAGTACGAGATATCAAACACTGCTTCGGGGTAGGGCAGCTCGAGGCGCGCAAGGTTGGCGTAGATGCCGGTGTCTGGCGAGCGGAAATCGGGGATTCCAGCAGACGTACTGATGCCAGCACCAGTCTGCTTCCTTGTCAGCGTCTATTGTCTCGTCTGAAGCAACGTTGCAGACCTACCATCACGACGATCTTGCAGTTCTTCTTCTCTTTGATGTACTTCACGATGCCATCGATGCTGCGTTTCTCCAGCGTCACCGGCGGGACACTATCGTCTACCATCTTGGAGGCTTCTGCCCCCATTTCACGGTCTTCTTATCTTTCTTCGTCTTCTCTTTGGTCTGGCTGTCCGTATCTATTTCGATTTATTCGATGATACCGATAGATATATCAGGCGGCTGAGGCGGGGGGTGAGGTGGGTGTAACTATTTGAAAGGCCTCTTAAATCACCAATGTCTCCCTACAACAGACGTTAGCTAGGTATAATAGTAACCACCGTAGACAGCAGGCAGAAGTAGTAGCAAACACTCACCGGTATATCTCATCCCAATATCTCGCCCGCATCAGGTGCAGCCGGCGGTGTCTGCATGTTTCGGCCACCAAGTTGTTCCTCATTCGTGTTTGTGGACTTTGAAACCTCCGAATATCCAACGCTTTGCAGGCCCAACATAACTATGCGAACAACCACCAACCGCCCGACTACAGCAGAACCAGGCAGAGAATGGCCAGCTCGACGGTGAGCCAGGTCAATGGCCATGGAAGCGGCCTTCTATCGTCTCCAGAGCTCGCCAACGGCCACAGCACGAGCACGCCCGGCGGCACCCTGGACCACAGCAACGGCGACGGTGACAGCGACATCTACAACGCCAGCTCCGTGGCGGCCATAAAGGCGACGCTCTCGCAGCTGCAGGATCGAGAAGCCCTGGTGACGGCTCGTCTCGATGCCCTGGTGGCCTCGCAAAAGGATCTCTCGCGTGAACTCGGCCGTCTCGATCTGCTGCGTGCCCATCTGGGGACGCAGGCCAGCACCACCCGCTCTATCAGCCACGAGATGCTGTCCGGGGCGGCCTCCTCTGCACATTCGCTGTCGAGCGCCGTCCGCAAGCTGGATCTCGAGCAGTCCCGCGTCAGATCGATACTAGACATGGTCGGGCAGGTTGCAGAGCTCAAGGCCTGCGTGCTGGGGGTTGCGGGCTCGATGGGGGCCTCGCAGAACTGGGAGATGGCGGCCTCCTATATGCACCGCGCATCCAAGATACCGGAGGAAGTGGTGAACAGTCCCTTTGCTGCGGAGATTGTGCCTACAACGGAGGTGCCAGATACCCCCAATGTGACGCTGTCGAATGCAGCCGAGTCCCTCTGTGCGCTGTTTCTACGGGAGTTTGAGCAGGCCGTGAAGGAGAACGACGGGGCCAAGATCACTCGGTTCTTCAAGCTGTTCCCGTTAATCGGCAAGTCAGACGTTGGCCTTGACGTGTATGGCCGGTATGTGTGCCAGGGAGTGGCTGCAAGAGCTCGCTCGAACCTCAATGCCGGGACGGGGGGAGCACAGGCAAAGGATGACTTCTTCTACGCCAATGCCTTGACCAGGCTGTTCGAACACATTGCTCAGATCGTGGATGCCCATGGAGCCTTGGTTGAAAGACACTACGGCCCGGGGAAGATGGGTCGAGTGGTGGAGCGGCTACAGGTCGAGGCGGATGTTCAGGGGGGCATCATCCTGGAGTCATGGGCAGAGGAGCGTCATGTCGACCGCAAACTGACCGATATCAAGTCGTATGCATTTACGTTCTTGGTCCAGAGTTTCCTGCCGGCTGCCAGGGGTGCTGGTACTCCGCGGTCGAATTCTCCGGCGAGCTGGGATACGCCGCAGCGGAACAGTGAAGACGAAGGGGTTGATATGAAGGAGATTGATTCCATATTAAACGAGATATCAATCATGCTTGGCCGGTGGTCTCTCTACGGAAGGTTTCTAGCTAGTAAATGCAAGGTAAGTAGCCTTTTTGATCATGTTTACTTTTTTT